ACTCCAAAAGGAAAATTGAGGCTAAGCCCTCAGGACATCTTGGGGATCAATAACCCTGAATTTAAACGAAATTGGTCCACATCTTACCCCTACATCTCAGCTACTCTGCAGCCTGGACCAGTGTTGCAGGGTCTGCTTGGCAAGACAGAACACTAATAGCTACGGAATTGTGTCCAAGACTCTTTTATTTTGCTCTGGGCAACAATTTTCTCAACAGTAAAATTGGGCAATTGGATTAATCTCTAAATTCTGGCACACCTTTAACAGGCGTTGATTCTAGGGCACGGAAGGAGATTTATTGCCAACATCATCCGTCACCCTGTGAGATCAATTTCAGGTGGCCAGTGTCACAGGGAGAAGGTAAAGTGTGAATTATAGTGTCTGACCAAATGCTCCTTCACTCTGCAGGAGATCCTGGCTCTGTGCCTTTCCCTCCCTCCACAGCCTCCTCTCATGGCAGGGACTCCAGCTACAGTGAGCCAAGGAAAAGTAGAAGAAAACCAAACAAGCAAAAGGGGACATCTGCAGGGACTGACTGCATTTATCTAACTGTCCCTGACAACTATGACAACCAGCACAGTGCTAGACGCACACACCATGGTGGTAACCCAAACAGATCAACTTTTATTCTTACCACTGTCTAGTTGCAGAATCCTGTGCAAATCACTTATCTCTTTGAACCTCAGTTTTCTCATCTGCAAAATAGGGATTCAAAGTAGTATCTTCCCCATTAGGGTGGCTATGATGGCTAGATGTGTTCAGAATTCTGCCTGGCAAATAGGAAGCATTCTTTATAAATGATTGTTATTATACTTAAATTCTTTGACCCAAAGAATGATCCTCTACTAAAGGGGAGCACTCTGCAGGGGGGAGGACGTAACAACAAGACAGGAGATAAAGAAGAGACCTGGGATGAACATCTTCCCTCTCCCAAGATGGATGCAGAGCAGAAGAGTCCCGGATGCTGCTGTTAAGAAGGAATTGTTTGCAAATACAAAGTAACCAATATGGCTCAAGCAAGCCGTTACTGTCAACACAGTTACTTGTTTTGAAAATGCACAAAAACACTATTTTCTCTCAAATTAATGCCTCTAATTATTGGCCCTGCTGCATGTCTACTGAAGAGTCGTGAATGAGGTTTAAAAGGATGCCCCTGCCATAGACTTTCAGCCTTTTCTGGTACAATCTATGGATTAAATGAGCCTCAGTTTGGTTTATTGTTGATGTTCTTTAATGCAGCATTATTTTTGGGCATCTGAAAAATTTCAGGTGGGATTTATGCCTGTCATGGGTAGCTGTCATTTTTGCCTGCTTTATGTTTTCAAGCCCTGTTCTCTGGGGGAAAGGGACCCCATTCTGGGTCTGACTGGGGAACCGATTCCTCCAACTTCAACCAAGTGATTCTAATGGGGGCTGGCCCTCATGGCATCTTGAACCCACACCGCACACCCTAACAAGTGGACACAGGACCCAGAGTTTGTCTAGTCATGGCCTCTTACTCTCTGAGCCATACACATTGCCCAAGACATGAGTATGTGACCCAAACTGGGCCAATCTAAGGGCTTCCCTGGGGTTTCCCAAATTGGTGTTGGGTGAAGGACAGATAGAGAAGGAGGGAAAAATCATGATCATGGGGCTGCTTGCCTCCACACCTTCATGAGTATGTAGAAAGTCAGTGAGCGAGTGAAACCAGAAAGGAGAGTGGAGACAAGAGAGGAAAAGAGAAATCCCAGAAGCATCTCATTCCTTGTTTCCTGGGGATCTCATCCTCTCGGACGGGGGTTATGTGAGCCATTAATCTCTCTCTTAGTCCAAGGTAGTTTAAGTGGGTTTATGACACTTGTAGAATAAGAGTTTGTCCACCCACCCATCCATCCACACGCTCACCCACTTTGTCAGTAAGTTAATATCTACTGGAAGCTAACCAAGTGTCAAGCTGTGTTCCAGGCACAGTTGTAGGTGCTGGAGATAACGCAATGAACAAAACAGAGCCCAGCCCCTCAGAGGCATTCTACCTAGTACAGAAGGCAGACAAAAAACAAATACATAACATATTGGATAATCATGAATGCTAACAATGAAAATGAAGTGAGATCAAGGACACAGAGACTGATGGGGCATGGGCAGAGAGTCAAAGAGGATCTCTCTCAGGAGGTGACATTAGGCAGAGTTCCGAACAAAGTAAAGGAATGAGTGGTATGAAGATGTGATCTAAGAGTTCCTGGTCAAGAGAGAAGAACAAGTGCCAAGTTCACGGGTCTTCAGACTAACCAAGTTCACTCTCTACCCCTGAGGACAAGGAGGGCATGGGAATCACCTGTTCTGCCATGGGACTCAGCCTGATATGATCCGGTCCAGTCAGACAGACCTGAAATTGAAATCCCCACCTTGGCTACTTCTGTGCGTGGTGAATGTAAAAGTTAACTAAATGCTTGAGCTCAATTTCACACAAGTAAAATGATGGTACAGAACCTCCTTCATTAAGTCATTTATGAAGGGGGGGGTACACCCTATACTTCAGGTACAGCGTTAGCTCATGGTCTAGAGAGGAGGAGAGAATTTAAAGTTTTGACTATACACAGAACAAGGGCTTTATAGGGAAGTGCTGAGTCCTACCTCAGGGCACCATGACGGGTGAGAATGGATGAGGGTGTGTGTATGTCAGCTGCCTCTGTTTTTATAAGAATTAATTAAGACGACCTAGGAAAAGTACTCAGATCTTAGTAAGCGCACAAGAGAAGCTGGTTCCGTTCCTTCTGATTAGCCTCAGAATCATAGATCCCGAGAAGCATAAAATGATCAAAGTCAACTCCCCAGCCACAGATAACCGAGATATGTTAAGTCACAGAGAAGAGAACACTTCCCTCAGTCTGACACTTGAACACCGGGGTGGACCACCTATGCTTGGAGGGGGCAGTGAGATGAACTCCAATCCGATTCTGGCTATTAAAAAATAAATAAATAAATAAGACCAAAACACCAGTTATCTGGCAGGCTGTTGAAGAAGTTAATACAAAGGTGGAAAATGTCCATCTGCAAGGATTCATCTAACACACGTGTACACCGCTCATCATTCTCTCGCCTTGCTCCCTGCCCTCCTGGGTAAAGGAACCGGTGATGCCTAGGTCGACGGTTCCTCCAGAGATGTTCACCAGGTCTCACGCCCCGCCTCCCAGCTTTGCAGCTAAAACCGCACCTGGTGTCTCACCTGCCAATCCATCAACCAACCTGTTTGAAGAACAAACCCAAAATACCGTGCCAGAGCCTGGACGAGGGAGACCGCATGGCTTACGTAACTGACCTTGTTCTTCTTCCTGGGGGGGAGGATGAGCCAGCAAATGGCTGGCAACTCTTACCCTGAGAAATGATGAAATGTGTTTTCCCTCTGCACCCCTGGCAGAGCAGAGAGTTCTGGAGAAGGGCGTGAGGAACTTGCTGAGATTCCAGACAGCCCCTTTCTGATAACAGGAGCAGCATCCCCGGCAAAGCCTCAGAATGCGTCTTCCCAGGCTCCAATTAAGCCGGGAGTGTATGAGCCAATGTACACGTGGTCTTTTGCATGTACATTTTAATTTGGCTGAACTGTGCTCATGTCTGCATAGAAAAGGCTCTCGGGTAGATACGGTAGTTCACTTAGCGTGTCAACACCTGCATGATTAAAAACCCCGTTGGTCATGAGAGAAAGAGAGGACAAAGTACCCCTCTGGGAGTCCTGAGACCTGGACTGTGTCACCCTGGTGCTCACGGGCTCAGGATTTGGGGTGAACCTGCCCTCTTCTATGAAGGGCACCTTGGCTTCGACAGGTGTATCTAGGGGAGGCTATCCGAGGTATCTCCCTCCTCTGCCTCTGTGAGCTGTTGCAAGTTCTCTGATGACAAAAGTCCCCTGATGTTGTCATTGTCAGTCATTCGGCCCCCTTCTATGATCCCCAAATGCCCCCACAGTCCAAACTGGGTCCAGGCAAGAAACATTCCATCCATTTCAAGACACACACAAAGGAGGCAGAAAGTCTGAACTGTGCTTCTGCATGTGAGTTAACCGGTGTGTCTAACTGTTTCTTCCAAGAGGGATTACAGATGGGATGGGGCGTCATGGATCCCATTCAAGAGGATTAGACCCAGCTTCCCAAAGGCCACTGTCCTCAAATGGTTCCCTTATAATGTGGCCCAGGGTCCTGCCACCCCCTCTGCCCAAATTCTGTCAGCTCTAGAAGGACAGCGGTTGAGCCTAGTGTCCAGGAGACAGATTGCAATGCCTCACAAGTAGTTTCTCAACATAAGGGATTAAATTACATCTATATTTATAGTTATAAATATATAAATAAACTGATTTTGGTGAGAGATGCTTTTTCTTTACAATTTTGGGCAGAGGCCAGAGTCCCCCTGATATGGTGACATCTTCTTGAAAGGGAGAGGTAAGGGAGGGACACAGAAGTGCTCAGAATCCAGAAGCCCACCCTGCCCCTGCAGCAGCCTGGGGTGAGGTGGGGTTTACTGGGGATCATGAAGGATCACCTTGATCCACTTTTTGAGGAGCTATCTGTGAACCCGAGAAGGAAAGGAAGCAATATATAATGAAATAAGCTGGTCTTCATATTCAGACTTGAGTTGGAATACTGGTCTTGTCACTCGGTAGCTGTGTGATGCAAGAGGGATAACTCAGACGCTCTGAGCCTCAATCTCGACCCACAAATGGGGGGTACTAGGGATGGTCTTACACTGTGGCTTTGAGGACCAAGTGAGACAATATATGTAAGGACTCCAGGCACAGAACTCCAGGTGGCCCTGCTCACTAAGTGGCTGCAGCTATGATCACAATTGAGTTGTCCTTGAGTAAATTAACATAAAATGGCAGACGAATACGGTGGTCAGCAACAGCAGGGAGCCCCAAACTCCAGCTCATGACCAGCATGCTGCCTAGGGTCCCTACCCCATACAGAACTGGCCCCTCTGTTCCGACATGGTGGTGGGAAGAAGGGAGTTCATGATCAGAAACGTACCTGGATGCTGCCTCCAGCTGGTCTTTCCTAAGAGGGAATGAGAAAGAAAAACATAGAGAAAGTATAAATTGCACGAACAGCTTCGCCTCTCCCCACAATGGGCCCCAAAGCGTCCCTTGATGAAGATGAAGGCATACAGTGGTGCTCTAGGGTGAGATGGAGAGTCTGCAGGGGAACCAGTGAATGGGCCGACTTTCTCCAGCCAGACCCCAGGCCCCACCACAAAGGCTTGGCCCTAAGCTCTCAGGGTTCTTCCAGGCCCTTCATTCATTTACTCACCCAGAGGATGGCTGCCGGGCACGTGCTCTGGCCCAGGCCTCGTTCAGGATTCAAGGGATTTGTTTAGCAGTGGGGACAGACCCGAAAACCAGGAGTTTCATCACTTAGCCCCACACCCCCCCGTCACTCTGTCACCACCATGTCATCATAGTCGACATCATCCCCACTATTGCTAATATTTCCTGAGCAACAATTATTAGGCAGATACTATTTTTGGTTCTTCAGATGGATTAACTCACTTAATCCTCATAACAACTCTATGAGGGAAGGAGTAATACCATTCCCATTTTCCTGATGACAAAGTGAGGCACAGACAGGTTAAGAACATCGCTCAAGGTCTCACAGTTAGGAAGTAGCCGAGTCAGGATTCGAACCCAGGTGATCTGGTTCCAGAGCTTACCCTCCTAACCACGAGTGGTATGCACACATTCCAGACACCGAGCCTTTGCCCAGGCTCTGCCCAGAACAGTGGTGCTCATCCTTCAAGTTCCAGCTGGAGGGACCCGTTCTGGAGTTTCTTACCCAAATCCCCAGGGTATAGGCTGAGCTAATCTCTTAACATGTGGGACTGGACTCTGATCCCACTGTTGTACAATCACACGATAATCTATGAGCTGCCTGGAGCAGAGCCTCTGTTGCTTTCAGCCCTGATATTGAGCACCCCATACCCTGCCTGGCATGGGGGAAGTGCACAATAAATGGTGAATGAATAAGTGGCCTGTTCCTGGGATCTGGGGGTGGGAGAAATGGGGAGCGAATAAGAGGTATCCTGGTAGAGAAGCAGAGGGACCAGCCGGGGGGTTTGAGTTCATGGGTCAGCTCCCTCTCTAATCTCAGGTGGCTTTGGATGGGTCATACATCCCCTGGGCCCATCTCTCTGTCTGAAGCATGTGCACAGAAAACACTCTGCCTTTCTAGAATTCTCTGGGTGTCTGACTCTGGAAATAGGGAAAGCACTGAGAGGAGAGGGAAAAGGTGGGGGCGTGGAGGGCAGGAGCTGCACAGGGGTGCCACGGAGAGCAGTGTTAAAGACATAGAGGCCCCCCCCCCCGCCCCGCCCCGCTCCTTTCTCATTCTCCAAGACAAGGATTCCCTGCCTTCTCTACCATCGCACTTCCCACCTCTCCCTTCCCTCCCAGGCTATGAACTTGACTCGCTTCCTACGGAGAAAGATCTGCCCCGCGTCCCCCATACCGAGTCAGCAACCTCGAACACCTGGCGCTGCCCACTCTGCTTCCCTTCTGCGCCCATGGATGCAGGGTCCACACCCCTGATCCTCCACTCGTGCTCCAGAGCCCACCCTCTGCTCTGCTCTCTCCTCCAGGCTCTCCCCTCCCCACTGCATTCACATCCATCCCTCTCCTCTGCACCCCTTCCATCATGGCAAGGGCCCTGGCCCCACATTCCACTCCATCTGGCACCTGCACTTGCTGTCCCCACGTGCTCATTTCCACATCTCTCTCTGGTCTTTGCAAGCTTCTATGCCCATTGCTCCACTGAGATTGCTCCAGACAAAGTTCCCAAGAAACTCCAAGTGATAAACATTCAGTGGGCACTTCCCTGTCTGTGTCTCCATCAACCTTATCACCGGATCAGCACAGCTGACCCCTTTCAGTTCACTGTTATGTCCCCAGTGCCAAACACAGTGCCTTGCATATCAGAGAGGCTCAGTAAATACTTGATGAATGAATGGATTAAGTAAATAAAATATTTGTAACTACATTCCAGACAGAGTGTTTGAGCCCTATTGTCACTCACTAGCAGTGGTTTCTCAGGACTATATTTGGGTGCCTAGCATCTTTCTTTCCTGCTATAACACCAATACTTCCTTCCAGCCCAGATTCAACCAGCAGAGACTGAACACCTGCTCTGGGCCAGGTACTGTGACAGGTGCTTCCCTACATTCTATTCAATTTGACCTTCATGACAAGAATCTTCAGAAATGGGTATGATTATCCTAGTAACCTTTGTCTTATCTTAATTTTACACAGTTTTCTTCCTAAAAAACTTTTTCTTCCCAGAGTTACAATGGGCTTTGGTGTAAGACCTTGTTTTCATGTTTGTTCCATCACTGACTAGAGGGGTGACATTAGGTGAGCTAATTAATCTCACTGATGCTCTGATTCTTCACTGATAATATTTGGGTTATGAAAATGGAGATACCCCTTCTTCATCTCTTCCAGGGCATTCTAAAGATAAAATGAGCATCTATTAAAGCAGATCCATGTTGCTTGGCCATGGGGAAGGATTACTACATATATCTCCTTCTCCATTGCTGAGCCCTTCAATAATCTTGATGCTGGTCATAAAAAGAGTTATACAAAAAATGAACTGGGTCTTCTTGGTCAAGTAACTTCTCCCTCTTGGGCCTAAATCTTGCCTCTACTTTAGTTCTAATATCTAATGCTTGTCCAATATGGTAGCCACTAGTCACATATGACTAAGTTAAAATGAAATAAAATCTAAAATGTAATTCCTCAGTGGCACTAGTAATAGTCAGATGCTCAAAAGCCACATCTGGCTAGTGGTACCATATCAAACAACACAGATGTGCCTTAGATAATTCTACCGCAACACTTGGGGAACCAAGTGGTATGCACATTCCCTGTTGATGGAAAGCAACAGGTGGTCTTAAATAATGTTAAGTAGTAACAAAATAAAAATAAAAAGGTATCCATCACCACCATCCATCACCACTAGCCCTAAATATATATATCCTTGTGAATTCATAAAGGACTGCACTGAGCTGGAAACCTTGTTTCGGGACCACTCCTTGGCATGGGTTACATAACTTCATCCTGCAAAGTCTTTGGGAGGAATGTCAAATGATGCCACCACCATGGAAAACCAGTCTGGCACTTCCTCAAAAAATTAAACATAGAGTTACCCTTTCTACTCCTAGGTATAAGCCCAAGAGAACTGAAAACTTGAGTCCAAACAATGTGGACATCAGCATAATAGCCCCAAAGTGGAAACCTCCCCAGATGTGCATCACCTGCTGAATGGATAAACAAAACAGGGCATCTATAATAGGCTATTACGCATCCATAAAAAGGAATCAAGTTCTGATACACAGGACAACCCGGATGAAATCTGAAAACATGCTAAGTGAAAGAAACCATACCTAAATGACCATATACTATAAGATTTCATTTTTATACAAAAAGTCCAGAATAGATAAAATGGAGATAGAAAATAGATTAGAGGTTGCAAGGGTTCAGGGAAGGGGGAGCCAGGAGTAACTCCTAATGGGAACAGGGTTTCTTTCTGGGGCAATAAAATGTTCTGGAATTAGATAGTTGTGATCAAGACCCAACTTTGTGAATATACTAAAAACCACTGAATTGTTCACTTGCAAAAGTACTTTTTAGAGCAAGTGAAACATAATAAGGTTGTTATTTTTTTTTTAGAAAAATATAAACAAAAGACAGTCTGTAGGAGGCAGGTGAGGACAGATTTACCATGAAACGTACTGAGTGGGTTGAAATTCAGGGACATTCTTTTCCCAAGGGACAGACTTGTTTCAGAATGGTTGCTAAGTGAACCTCTCTAGGGACTTTATACTTTTGTCCTTGAAGAAAGAAGAAAGAAAGAAAGAAGGAAAGAAGAAAGAAGAAAGAAGAAAGCAAGCAAGCAAGCAAGCAAGCAAGCAAGCAAAAACAGAAAGAAACAGAAAGAAAGAGAGGAATGTTCTTTCTCGGTTTAAAAGCCATTCCTGTATCACAGCAGCTGTCTGCAGTACAATGTATTCCTCCAAGTGTCTGACAGCCAGGACAATGCCTTATTTATAATATGTCACCCCAAAGGAATGGGCCTCTTGCCAAGACCTTGGGCTGCACAGCAAACGGAAATCATCTCTGTTCTGCACTCAGAAGGGTTGCAGCACCTGTCCTGGCCTCCAAGTCCAAGGTCACTCTGTCCTTTTCAAGGGAGGCCCCCGGCCCCTTCGAAGACTCTTGTGACCCAAAAGAAGGCTGATGTCATCCCTAACCAGAAATGATGATGGCAAAACAGAACTTTAGAATCAAAGGGAACCACAGAGACCATCTTCTGAGCCAGTGAATCCAACTGCAGGTGAGGAGACGCAGTCAATAAACCCAAACGCCACCACTCATTTATGGAAGCCTCGATTCTTCTTTCTCCCTAAGGCTTCTGCCAGTCATTACTCCCTGACACCCCCCCCCCCCTGCTTATTCCCTTCCTGGTCCTCCCTGCACCACCCTTCTCGAGCTTCTACTTTGGTCTAAGCCCTGGTTTGCTCTCATCCTGAATGCTGCAAGGCCTTTGCTAGCTGATCTCCTCGCCTAGGATGTTGAGCCTCTCCTGTCCACCTCCACACCCTTCCTGACATATTCCTGAAACACGGATCTGATCGTGTCATACTCGGGCTCAAACAGCTTCTCTTTGCCCTCGGGATCAAGGTCAGATTCCTTCGCACGTCACCTGCGACTGGTGGATGGGACGTCCTGAGTAAGAAGCAGCACCTGCCACTGCAGGATCCAGAAGGGAGAGGCAAGCAGGGCAGGGCCCTGTCGCTCATGGTCAGGTTGTGGATTTTATTCTTTGTCTTGGTCACCCATTGGAAGGTTTAATGCAGGGAAATGAGCCAATGGAACCCCGATCTCCTGAATCTCCTTAAATCTGTGCCACAATCTGGTGATGGGGGTGAAGGGCCTGGGCATAGGTCCCGTGATAGGTGAGTGGGAGGGTGGGCTGGGGATGAAGGGGCCATTCGGCTAGTGTTGGGTCACGCTATGGTCCATGAAACCAAAGGGGTGTGGAAGATACACACTTCAGAGCCGGCCCAGCTCCCAGTGTGAGACTGAGTGACCCTCTACTCTTCTTCCCAACCCAGGAGGTATGGCAGTTCCACATTCCACCCACACACTGTACATCCCAGCTGAGGACTGCAGTGTCTAAAACCTAGAGAGGGGGCGCCTGGGTGGCTCAGTTGTTAAGCCTCTGCCTTGGGCTCAGGTCATGATCTCAGGGTGCAGGGATGGAGCCCCGCATCGGGCTCCCTGCTCAGTGGGAAGCCTGCTTCTCCCTCTGCCTCTGCCCCTGCTTGTGTTCCCTCTCTCTCTCACTCACTCTCTCTCTCAAATAAATAAAATCTAAAAACAAACAAATAAAAAACCTGGGGAGGCGTGAGGCGCAGGCTGTTTTAATAGCCCAAGTACTGAAAAGGCCAAGGGCTGTGGGGGCCTCTTGATGTGGCAGACATTGGCCAAAATGCCCGAAGTTTCTGAACCCCAGCTCGCCCCGCTGTGAGAGGAGCCTGGTGACCCGACCTCTCCGCCTGTCTCCAGGAGCGAGCAGGAGCCACTCTGTCAGCCTAGCCCTGTCTGGCCAAGATGCTTTACTCCGCTCACGTCACTGAAGCGGCTGGAGGCAGGTGCACAACGTGCATTTCCACAGCCCTCCACTGATTTTAATGCACCTTAGCGTTTGAGAGCCCTGGGCTCTCTTACAGGGTGCCTGTGAGGAGTGAACGAAGTGTGGCCTTGGATCCCTTAGATGTACTGGATGTCCAGTGAATATGAACTTCCTTTTTCCCTTTCACAGGTGCTGGCTGTGGGCAGAGGTTCTTATTTTTTTTCCTGAGGCAATTAACTAACTAATTAAATTATTTATTTATTTAGATTTTATTTATTTCTTTGAGAGAGAGAGAGAGAGAGGGAGAGCACAAGCCAGGGGAGGGGCAGAGGGACAAGCAGACTCCCCGCTGAGCACAGAGCCCGATGCAGGACTCGATCCCACGACCCTGAGATCATGACCTGAGCCGAAATCAAGAGTCAGACGCTCAACTGACTGAGCCACCCAGGTGCCCCTGGGGCCTTTAATTTAATCTCCACCTCTAAGAACACAAAACAACATCTCTGGGTTATTGGAGGATTCCTTCTGCTGCTTCTTCTGCCTGCCTGTTCCCAGTATCCAGAAGAGTCTGTGGGTACAGGCCACGGCCAGGGGCGGGGAGCAACCAGGAGTGATTGTGAGGCCCACTGCGCTGGCTCCCCACTTCCTCAGATACCGGCCCTGCTCAAACAATGATCGGACTTCCCTTGTCAGCCACTCCACACGGTCTAGCTGGCAGCCCCTGGTGGGGTCACCTGGGGAGCTTAAAATGATACAGATGCTTGGACCCCACTCTTAGGGGTTCTGATTTAATTAGCCTGGGGTGTGGCCTGCACAGTGGGATTATTGAAGCATCCCGGTGATTCTAATAGGTGGCATATACTGGGAACCATACCCTGTTCTCCAAGAAACTATGAAGCCCCAGGCACAAATACAGACCCACAGAAGGGACGGCCAGTCACACCTGGAGCATTCAGACAGGTTGCCACTTGCCTGAAGAATGGAAAAGAGACGACTGATTCATAGAACCTCCATGTCGCCACGAGATCAATCCTGTTGGGGTTGGTAGCATAATACCTCCAGGCAGCCTGAGGAGGAGAAAAGAGGGGCTGGAACCACCAGATAGAACTGCAACACTCTCACAGAATCCCACGGCATGAACACATTTGGGAAGCTCCTGGCTCCTAAGAGTTTAAATATGCATTGAGGTGATATGCAGAGAAGCCAGGTTTCCTGGCTTTTGTAGCTCCTTTGGGAAGCAATCCTTCTTTGACCCTTCATCTTGGAGCCCTAACTGGTACCATGGGGGTGTGGAGAAATGCAGTAGAAGGAGAAGAGGGTGCCGGGTATAAAATCCCCAGAAGGAGCAGGGGTTACTCCTGATGCAACTTTCCCCGAGACTTCTTAAATAGCTAGGAGGATAAACATTGTCTTTTGTGCAACTTTGGGTGCAAGAGACGGCCCCAGAGATGACGTTTGATTCAAGTGTGCTAGAACTTCAGGACGATGGTGATGGTCTGGGGTGTGGGGGATAATGGAGCAGACCCTTAGAGATGGGGACTGGCCATGGCACTACATTATGTAGGATAACATCGTGTACCATCCAGTGTCAGACCCACAGACGCAGAGACCCTCAGTACACGGACGCAAGCTCATGGTGGGTGGTCACGCGCACACTGGGTCCCGCGCAGCTGAAGTCAAGGTACGCCACCCTCCTCCTCTCTGTGCTCTCAACAGCCCACGAAACCACGAACGGGAACACTTCTGCCTCCTCCCCAGCTCGCACTATCCTCCCCACTTCCAGCCCACACTGCGGGAATTATGGAGCTGCCGGGCGTCCAGCACCCACTGGTGCGTGATGGTCTACTGGGCAGGATAAATGGGCCAACTGTCCAATACTGAGCACATGCAAGGTGTGTCCTCCTCTCTTGGCTTATGGGTTCTCTGTCCTTGGCTGATATGAGGGGCTGCATCTTGTAGCTGACTGGCTAAGCACCTGGACTCTAGCCTGGTTCTTCCTTGTGCGTCCCTAGGTGAGGACAAGGCGGGACGTGGAAGGAGGAGAAGCCTCGTACGGGCTCAGACCCAGGTCAAGTTCTCCACTCCAACACTGTGAGTAAAACAGCTGATGGCTTGCCTGGTCCCGGTTGGAGTCCTGTGTCTCTTTCTCACTTGCTTAGAATCTGGATGGGAGAGCACTGGGGGGGCCGTCATGTTCACCACGGGAACACCCACAGCTGGGTACAAGCAAGCACGGCCCGGGACCCCAGCCCCAGCCCAGGCACACGCACTGCTGTACAAGCAGGCACAGCCCCACACACAGACGCAGACCCGCGGGAGCTCTGGCCCAATCCGGTTCCTCCCCCAGCAGACAGACCTGGATGAGTTCAGCGGCCGGCTTCCTCCTTTTCTCAAAGTGCTTCTGCCGGTGCTGTTCCTGTACCTTGAGTGCTAGTCCCGACCCCAGGATGCCCTAGAGGGAGAAGTCAGGCCTGGGTCAGCCCCGCTGGCCTCTCCGGGGGGCCCACCCTGACTCCCAGGGCCACAAAGACTCCTTTCTTCTCTTCCAGGGAGTAAGTCACTGGGTTACGTGGAGCCTTGATGTCAGGAAGGCCTGGCTTCAGTTCCTGACTCTGCCACTTTCCAGAGGGGAGAGCCTGGGCAAGCTTCTTATCTACTGCATCTCAGCTTCCAGGGAACTGGGCTAATAGTACCTTCCTCATAATTTTGTTAAGCAAAAACCTGAAACCATGTATCAGAGCCATTTGGTAAGAAGTATGACACAGAACAGATGCCCAGTAAATGCTAGTGGAAATGTAAAAATATTTTAGCTGCTTAACTGGTCACTTAAGACTTTTACTGGACTCTCCCAGAATTGTGACCTGTTTTGATTTCCAGGTCAGACTTCCATGTGGATTACCTGGATAGAAGCTCTCCCTTTTCAAGTTGGGAGAGAGCTTTGAGACCATGCAGCACCCCACAGCCCCTGACCTGCTCCGGAGGAGGAAACCGAGACTCACAAAGGCCACACGCCCTAGGCCAGCGAGCTTAGGAAAAACAGACAAGGTAGGCGACAGTGGAGGAAGAACATCACTAAGGCCAGCTCTGGGAGATGAGAGGGGTGGAAGTGGGCTTGCTCCATAAAAAGGTTCTTTCCAGGGGCGCCTGGGGGGCTCAGTCGTTAAGCATCTGCCTTCGGCTCAGGTCATGGTCCCGGGGTCCTGGGATCGAGCCCCACATCGGGTTCCCTGCTCGGCGGGAAGCCTGCTTCTCCCTCCCCCACTCCTCCTGCTTGTGTTCCCTCTCTCTCTCTCTCTCTCTGTGTCTCTCCCTGTCAAATAAATAAATAAATAAAATTAAAAAAAAAAAAAAGGTTCTTCCCAGCTTCATGATTAAGAGCCCGAGCCCACAACCCAATAACCTTGTGATCGTGGAAACCTGACTGACCTAACTGAGCCTCATTGTTTTCGTCTGGATAATGGTGATTAAAAACTCACCAAACTCACCATGTTGTCCTTATATGAGATTGAATGAGATGTAGGTAAAGCATTTGGCACGAACGAGTCTAGCACACAGTAAGTCCAACAAATGCTTTCTGTGACTGTTGTATTATACTTATGGGCACTGGGCTTTGGGGAGGTTATTCTATCATGGGTCAAGGACTCACTCTTGAGGGCGATGCATTTTTTTTTCTTTTTTACATAAGCCAGTAAATGAAATGGTAGGACAAGGGAAGGGAGCTCACGTCGACAAAGGATCTGCCATATGCAAGGTACTGGGGAGACATAATCCCAGCCCCCAGGGAGCTCACAGTCTGGGGGTGGGGGGCGAGGGGGATGCAGCACTGGGTCAGAAATGCCTTTATAGAGTTATGCCGGGGGCGGCGGGGGGTGTTAGGTCAGCTTAAAGAAGGCAGCCTTGAGACTAGGATTTGGAGCAGCCAAACCTGTGGAGCTAAGGGTGCAATAGGGTGGAAAATGAGCCTGGAAGGTGCAGCTGGGTCCGGGGGGGGGGGAGGGAGGGTCCCGCCTGTCACACTAGGGAGAACACTGAAGTACTTACTGCTGGGAGGGCAAAAAAGGAGACACCAATTAAGGAGAAGGTGGCCGCGATCAGGCGGCCTTCCCACGTTTTGGGTGTCTTGTCTCCATAACCGATGGTGGCCAGTGTGATCTGGAGAGAGAAGAGGTCAGACGTGGGCCTTTGCAGGGTGAGGGAAGTCAGGGGCACATCAGCCAAGCTCCACCTCTAAGTTTTTCCTACTGCCTGGGGACATGTTTCCCATGGGAGAAAAGGTACCAGGTGCCAAGTAATTATACGGGCGCCTTGTTTCTAAGTTAAACACGCCGGTTTCTAAGTTAAGGATTTCCTACATAGAGTCGATCAGCTGACAAATTTTTCAATCATTGCAAACATGTGCATGTGCATTCTTGGCATATTTACATACTTGTGATTTTGTGTACCGCTAGGTCTCCAATGCATGCACGCTGATGAGTGTATTTATGTGTGTTGTGTGCGCGTGTCACATCTGGGCATGTGTCTGTGCTGATGCATGTTGTACAGCCCTTGGCGTGTTTGCACATGTAGGTTACTGCACGCACCTGAGTGCACAGGACAGGAGAGCAGAGCAGTCCAGTGTGCGGCCTCTGGAGCCCAGCTGCCTGAGTTCAAATCCCAGGCCAACCACTAACTGGCTCAGAGATCTTTCCCGGGTTAATTACTTACTTAACCACTTCTTGCCTCAGTTTCCCAGTCTTAAAAAAGGGGCTAAAAATAGGAGTTCTTTGAATTTAAAATATGTTAATAAATGTGAGGTGTTTAGAGCAATGCCCTGGAGCAGAGTAAGCCTTCAAAAAATGCTAGTTTGGGGCGCCTGGCTGGCTCAGTTGGTTAAGCGTCCCACGCTTGATTTCAGCTCAGGTCATGATCTCAGGGTTGTGAGATCGAGCCTCGCATTGGGCTCTGTGCTCAGTAGGGAGTCTGCTTAAGGATTCTCTCTCTCCTCCCTCTGCGCCTCTCTGCTCATGCTCTCTCTCTTAAAAAAAAAAAAAATGCTAGCTTTAGTACCATGTATTCCTGTGGGTATTGAGCTGTGGGTCTCTGGGTGTGTTTGAAGGTCTGAGTGCACGTGTGTGCATCTGCTACTGTGTCTGTCTGCACACGCGTGGCTTAGCTGATAACAGCCTACAACTAATGAAGTAAGGTTCCTGAGTGATGATGAGACCAGACTGTGCCCAGCCCTGACTTCTTGTAAGCACTAAGGAAAAGCCCATTCCAGGTGCATTCCCTGCAGAGGGAGCTCTGGCCTGTGCCTACATATGCAGCTGCCCACCTGAGCCCTCCCCTGCCATGCCCTCCACCTCTCTCTTAACAGTCAGTCCCCTTGGGGGGCCTTCAAGACGGTGACTCACCAGGCCCCACCAAAGGGCATCTGCGTAGGTCTCAAATTCCTCCTTCACCTCTTCTCCTTGTGCATCAACTTCTGGCACATCTTTCTCAACCAGGTAGACAAGAAATGAAGAAAGGATGAGCGTCAGGAACCCAATGTACCAGGCGGTGATGAGCTCCTGGGAGAGCAAGCAGTGGACAAGGGAAGTGGTCACTAGGAAGTCTGCGGATGGATGCTGGAGGCAGACGCACCAGGGTTGGGGTCCAGGTTTACCAGCTCCATGACTGTGGGCAAGTTATTCACCTCTGAGCCTTACCTTACCTCTGAGGCTTACCTTCTTCTTCTTCTTCTTCTTCTTCTTCTTCGTTTTTTTCTTAATTTGAGAATAGCTGACACACAACGTTACATTAGTTTCAGGTGGACAACATAGTGATTCAACAAATTTACACATTATGCTGTGCTCACAACAAGTGTAGCCACCATCTGTCCCCGTACAATGTCATAGCATGGACCGTATTCTTTCTGCTGCGTCTTTTATTCCCATAACTTACTCATTCCATAACTGGAAACATGTATTTCCCACTCCCTTTCACCCATTTTGTCCAACCCTTCACCCCCTTCCCTCTGGGAACCATTAGCTTGTTCTCTGTATTTATAGGTCTGTTTCTGTTTTTTGTTTGTTTGTTCATTTGTTGGTTGTTGTTTCTCGATTCCACTGATGAGTGAAATCATATGCTATTTGCATTTCTGTCTGACTGATTTCATTTAGCATAATATCTATCCATAATAATATCTACGCCATAATATCCATAAGAGGTCCATCCATGTTCTCACAAATGGCAGGATCTTGTCCTTTTTATACCTGTGTAATATTCCATTGTGTATGCACACCATATTTCCTTATCCATTTGTCTATCGATGGGCACTTAGCTAGCCTCTGTATCTTGGCTACTGTATATAATGCTGCAATAAACATAGGAGTGCATGTGTCTTTTTGAATTAGTGTTTCCGTTTTCTTTGCAACCCAGTATTGGAATTACTGGATCATACGGTATTTCTGGTTTCAATGTTTTATTTATTTTATTTTATTTTATTTTGGTTTCAATTTCTGAGGAATCTCCCTACTGTTTTCCACAGTGGCTGCAATAATTTACATTCCCACCAACAGAGCACGGGGGTCCCTTTTATCCACATCCTCACCAAGACTAGTCGTTTCTTGTCTTTGTGATAATAATATGGTCCTTATTTCCATCATTAACAGAATGAGGGTATGGCTCGAGGAGAGGAAGATTTCTGTCTTCGGGTGACCTTGATATCACAACTCAAGAGGCTTCACAGGGAGGCAGGAAGGCAGGTGAAATGGGCATCAGTCTCTGAGTCAAGGCACAGGACCCAGGAGACTTGATTCCAAGCAGAGCTGAGCAGATCCAGGATAAAGCTCAGCACTATCGGGAAACCGACAGCAGGGGGAGCCAGCGTGGCACAGCGCGCCCAGTCCGGCCACTGTGACCTCTGTGACCCTGGGCAAATGAACCCCCTCCCCAGCTTCAGTTTCTTTATTTTCTTTTTTTTTTTTTAAAGATTTTATTTATTTATTTGAGAGAGAGAGAATGAGAGAGAGCACATGAGAGGGAAGAGGGTCAGAGGGAGAAGCAGACTCCCTGCTGAGCAGGGAGCCTGATGTGGGACTCGATCCCGGGACTCCAGGATCATGACCTGAGCCGAAGGCAGTCGCTTAACCAACTGAGCCACCCAGGCGCCCCCAGTTTCTTTATTTTCAAAATGAAGGGACTGGATCACAGTTCTTGAAAGTGACCCGTGTACTTCCCATGGAAGGAAGGCAGGCAGTTTTTATGTTAAAGAGTCACATACTGATTTAAACGATATTAAAAATCAGCATAAATTAAAATGAGCATAACATCTTTTATTTCGTGGATATTATCACATGATAGACTAGGATACGGGAGTAGGTGCACGAAAGCGAGTTGATTTAGAGAATACTATCACTAAGGAACAGTCAGGATGGTTGCAGAGACATGGCAAAGATCACTGAGGTTTCCAACACCCTGACCCCGACAATCCCTAAGGCTCCTTCCATTTCTCTCATTCTATTCCAATTTCAAAGTTCAGCATGGTAGGTTGGGCAGAACAAAGTCAAGGTTATTGGCAAACACAGTCTGGAGACGAGGCCTGACGCTCCTCCTAGGTCATCCCGGCGAACAAAGCTGTTCTTATCAATATACTTTATCTATCTGACCGTCAGCGGCCAGGCAGCCGACCTCTGGGTCCGTAGAATCTTGGGCTTGCTTCCTGCCTCCCTCCGTGCCTTTGCTCACATTGGCCTCCGTCCCTGCACTGCCTTTCCCCGTGAGATGACCCGAAGAGCAGTGGGTCCTCTTGAGGTGCGAGTCACCTCCATTACGAAAGGTTTCCCTTGCTCCATGAGATCGAGTTCAGCTCTAGTTCCCTTACACTTTCGCTATTTCCTGAGTAAGCTTTCTCGAAATCTCTAACACTTACTGTGCCCACTGCTTAGGTCTGGCTTCCCCCACAGCGTCACACACACTTGTGTGAATTCACTTTACAGCTCAGAGAGGTTAGTTTGGATGGTGCAGGCAATCCAGCCGGCCACTCCCTTTGGCGAGTGTCTGCCCTGCCCAGGCTTGGAGAAGACAAAGGCAAATTGGGTAAGTCCTTCGCCTGTGGCCGTCTGGGCACGAGCCTCTCGCCTTGTTGAGTGCAGTTTCTAGCATTCCTATGCTTTTTCATTCCCTCTGTCCCCTGAATGCAAGGCAAAAGTTTCATCAGGTGCTTAGCTACAGAAATTGTTGTCTGTTCATGAGCGCACAGGAAAACTGGTTGTGTTGGATTATTAAGAAGTAGCATAATGGTCATTACCGAGGAGTGAAAATGTGTCCCAGTTCTGTGCTTTGCAGTCATTTAAAAGGCTATTCGAGGTAATTCCGACTTTACACCATTTTTGCCAGTAGCTCTGTGGCAGAGCCCGTGGCTGTTCCTTGATACCCACAGAATCCTGCACATGCCTGAGCCGCCCTGAAGTCGGACCGGGGCTGGGGGGCTAGGGCGCTGGGGTGGAGCCAGTGTGGGGGAACTTCGGCAGCAACTTCCTCACTGCTCCTTAAATCCATTCTGCAGGGTGCTCCTGGCCCCTTTTTGCTGCCTCAGTGACTCAACCCTCATCTTCAAGACAGATGAGGGCCCACGTCTGACAGCATGTGAGTGAGAAGACATCGACCTTTTTTTGTGCCAAGAGTCTCTGGGGCCTCTTTGTTCTGGTAGCACAGCCTGGCCTTATCCTAACTTTGAAACTCTAACCCTGTGCCACGTGGACCTCCCTGAGGAGTCGATCATGGAACATGGCCCAGAGTCCACAAGTTTGGAAGGAATGGATGAGGAAGTAAAGGGCTAAGTGCCCGTTCACCAGGCTTAGAGGAAGAACTGGGCTAAGCTCTTGTAGTTACTAAATGGGAAAGCAGGACTCCAACCCAGGCGTGTGCTCACCTCCTCACCGCACTGCCAGCCCCAGAAGGGAAGGCTGGCTGGGCAGCCGCTGGGCAGCTCGGGAATAGCACCAGGCTAAGCAGGAGGACGTGTGAGGGGGAAGAATGACAGGCAGAGCCTGACCAGCAGTTGCTTTTCTGCCTTTGATCTCCTACCACGGAGGTGTCATTTTGTCTGGAAGTTCTGCCCTCCTGACCTCGGTTGTAGGGCCTGGTGGTGGCATGGACCTACCTCTTCCCGGGAATTACCTGGTAGGTAGGCAACTGTTTTCCACTCCAGATCAGAGGGAATACAGGATGAGAATCGAAACCAGCCATTTTCAGCCCTGATTTCTACAGGAGCCATGAATCAGCTCAGCTCCATGGATGAAAGACTGGGTGTTGCTAGCATATCCTCTGATAAGAGTGGAAGGTCAGGTGGAAAACCCTCGAAAGAAAGCTCTGACCTCACCGAGTCTGGGGTCAGAGGCAGCACACACGGTTTAAATCGTGCGGCATTGTGAGGTGAAGGACTCCGGGTGCCTTTCGTTTGTACTTCATTTTATTTAGGTATTTGTACTATTTGTGAAGAAAAGCATATCTGGAATAATAAACACTACCATCAATGAGCGCCTACTATTTACCAGGCACTCAAACGTACCTCTTCTCGTGCGAGCAGCCAGAAGGGTCCTCGTTTTGACTGTTGAGGCGGCTCATAAAAATAAAGCAGGTTCTAAGCCTTTTCACTCTAGGGAGTGAGCCCATTATCGTCCGCATTTTCTAAATGCAGGAGCCAAGACCCACTGAGGTTACAGAAAACCCCCAGCGTCACACCAACGGAGTTTGGACTCCCACGAGTCTGGGTGAGTCTGGAACCTTTCCCTCCCACCCCGAGCCGCCTTACGTTGGCTCATCTGACCCCCTCAACCACCTGGAGGCAGAGCCATTATTCTCTCGAGGTTAGAAACAGGAAGCCGAGGCTCAGGGAGAGCTGAGTGACTTGGCCACAGTCGTCGGCACTCGGGGGAGCCGAGGACTTGAACCCAGCTCTGCCTGCTCGTGCTCGCTGGGCACCCCTGCTGGTGCCCCTCCTCCTCTTCATCAACCTCAGCAGCGGTGGCCGAGCGACCGCCCTCTGGGGACGCCGTAAGGGAGGGGGATGCCCTGAAAAAGTCACAGGTGGGGGAGAAGGTTCTCCGTGGCACTTACTTTGCTGTGGGCGCAGATGGCCGAGCCCAGGAGCTTCCACGTGCCGCCCCTGCGGTCCATCCGCAGCATGCGCAGGATCTGCAGGAAGCGCAGGCTGCGCAGGGAGGTGGCCAGCACATTGCCCTGGTTTCCCACGGCAACCACCGGCACAGAGGCGATCAGCACGAAGATGTCTGGGAACGAAGACAGAGAGGGGGACGAGGGAGAAGGAAAAGGTCAGGCGAAGGCAATGGAACCGCCACAGGCGCTGGACCCAGAGCCTGAGCCTGGGTGTCTTCCCAAGGCTACAGGGCCGGATGGGCATCGCTGAGTGGGGACTGGATGCGGGCCCGTCAGGCTCCAGCCCTCCTTCTCCATCCCAGGGAAGGGACTCCCCGAGGTCCCCCAGGGTGACAGGGCCACTGGCAGGCCCGGAGGGGTCAGGGAGATGCCCCGGTCATGGAGGGGAAGCCTGAAGCTCAGACGTGGCTGAAGGCAGGTTTCTCCTAAAAGCAGCACCAAGTCAGGGCCTTGGCCGTGGGCGATGCACAGGCAGAGCATCTCAGGAGGCACGAGAGAGGGGAGAGGGACACAGGGAAGGAGAGGGGCAAGGTGAGGGGAGTTATAAGCAGCCTCCCAAGGTGGTCGCTCCGCAAGATGGGAGCTGGGACCTCTGTCCGTTGGCTCCCGTCCCCTGGTGGTGGAGGGTCACCCCTGGGGTTGCTGATGGCCCCACGCTTCTGAGTTGCATGGCCTGGTGGTCTCCCTCAGCTTCAGGGAAGGCCCTGAGCTAGACCAAAGTCAAACATGAAGCCCACCCACGAAGTGGGAGGCTGGTCTCCAGAGGGGCTGTGAAAACGTCCACCACGGCTGTGACTGAAAGCAGAGAAGTGGAGGGGATGAGGGGCTTCTGCACGGGCCAAGCTGGCTCCTGAAGCCACGAGCCAAGGACAGAGGAGCAGCCCTGGTCCGTTCCTATTCCCTTCAGTGGCCCCCAACACCCATGCCGACCATCTCCCCACCACACTGCAGGGGGTCCACAGTAAAAGGGACCCTGTAGCCAAGTAAATTTGGGGAAAATTTGATGAAGCTCATTTTGCTACTGTAGGACTTCTAGAACCTTCAATATGCTAATATACACCGTGGCTCTCAATGAACACACGAAGCAGAGCTTTCCCCAAAGATTTTGGCTATAGGACTATTTTTTTTTTTTTTTTTTGCAAGAGCATCAGGTTCTAAGGAACACACTGGAAGAGATGTTTATCCCCTGGGTAAAGTCCAAGCACCTGAAAACCCTCTGACCTGTGAGCCTTTCAGAATCTGGTGCCGTTTGCTGAGCACGAGGCTCTCTCAGACCTCCATACCTCTGTATGTGTCAGTCTTCCTGCTTGGAACAGGCCCCTCAATTCACACCTAGGTATGTCTGCCCTTTCAAGGTGTCTCCCAGATGTGCCTAACTCTGGGGAAAAGCTCAGTGTCAAACCTCTGGATACCAGTATGTCTATTCTTGGCCAGGCCTCTCAGTTTATCTGTGCAAAGTTACCCACTTTTAATGCTCGTAGAAAGCAAGAGGAAACAAAACCTGGATATGGGGTAAATGTGAGTTGAGTCTGTGATGCTCAGAGAGAATGGGAGATTCTGGCCCAGTGAGTGAGATGGACGCACTCACACCCGAAATGGCAGGGTCTGGGGCTGCCTCGAATATGAAGGCCATGATGTTCCCTGATGGATAACCACCCTCATGTCAAACATGCAGAGAAAGGCAACACTTCTCATAAGGCCACGTTATGGGAGAAGTCGAGAGGAGGAGAGCAGAAAACACAGGCATCCCAGAAAGGAAGCCAGCCAGGATGGTGATGCTGAGAGCCGGCCTCGGCTCTCCAGGGGAGGTTGGCAGTGGAGCACGATCCGGAGCTCGGTGATATCAGCCCCTTTTGGAATAGTGGAGACTGTTCCACGGGGAATGCTCTTTTCCTGGAAGCGTCCAGGCTCCACACAATACCAGGATGTTCTCGAACTGGGTGAGAACCTCTGAATTTGGGTATCAAGTCACCTCCCCCACCCCCTGCCAACACACGCATGCGTGCACACAGGTGCGGGCGCATAGGACTTCTGGTCAGCACTGGATAGGACTCTCCAAAGGAGAAGAAGTCCACTTAACACCTTGCAAAAGACTCGAAAGGAAGACAGAAGAAGAAGGGGAAGGCAAGCTGGGGCTGCTAGGGGCTGAATGTTTGCGTCCTCCCAAAATTCAGCTGCTGAGCTCCTGGCCCCCAGTGGGATGGGCTTAGGAGGAGGGGCCTCTGGGAAGTAATGAGGTCATGAGGGTGAAGCCCTCACGAGTGGGATCAGGTCCTTCATAACAGAGTTTCCCGAGAGCTCCGTGACCCCTTTCCTGGCGTGGGGACACAGCAAGCAGACCAAGAAATGGGCAGTCTGTGACCTAGAAAAGGGACTCGACCGGAGCCTGGCCCCTGATCTTGGACTTCCGGCCTCCGGGACTGTGAGAAATGCATTTCTCTTGCTCATAGGCCTGCAGGCTGTGGCACTGTTAGGGTTGCCTGAATGGACTGAGACAGGGGCAGACGGGGAAGGAGGACAAAGAAAGAGAGAAGGTTGAAAATCAGTCACTACAAAATCCTCCAAAATTGTGTGCACTCGAGCACTCACACCCACATAGCCTCTCCTTGCATTAAGCGTTCCGAGTGATACACAAAACCCTCAGGTGTCCAACCTCCGAAGCAGGGAGGGCGGAAGAGTGAGTTCAGCCGGCAGTCAGGTGCTATAGTCACGTGCCAAGCAACCTGCAAGCAAGGCAGGGCCCCCCGGTTGCCCGGAGAGAAGTGCAGCACGCAGGACAGAGGAGGGCTTCAGTGCTCCTTCCCTGGGCTGGCCATCCGTACCCAAAGGGCTGTGCTCCGTCCTGGGGGTCACTCTTTAAAAGGGCGGTGAGCATGCTCAGAGAAGAGCAAGAACAATGCTGAGAACCTGTGGTACAAAGCAGAGCCGGAACCACTAAGCACACTTTCCCACGGCTGGAGTGGAGAGGAAGAACAGAATGATTGAACTCAAATATCTGAACGGAGTCAGAGGACGTCAGATGGAATAAATACGTTGAAAGGTGGTGAGCGCCCCGGAACTGGAGATATGCAAGCAGGTGACCACTTGCAGGCTGCTGTGAAGGGGAAGTGAATATCAGATGGGACAGCGTGTTGGACTTCGGAGAGCCTTTCAAGGCCCTGTGATCCTGTAACTTTAACCATCACTAGGAATCTGAGGTTCCAACTCCTCCCCGTCACTGTCACTCTATGATTTTAGTGGGATCTTCAGATGGAAACATATGGGTTCATGCTGCACCAACAGGGGTAAGTTAAAGTGTCCACCTTCTCTGCTATCTAATGCCTGCACCCAAAGGGAAGGGTGTCAGCGACATCTTTCCAAAGCAACTTCTGGGTCAACACCCAGCAACGTGGTAGGGAGGGAGGGCACGGGTGCTAGATTCTTCCAGACCTGGTGTTAGGATGGAATCTGAGGCTTACTACCTGTGTGACTAGGAAATGACTCAGCACCGTGAACCTCAGTGTCCCCCTCTGTAAAACGGGCACAATGTGGACCCATAGAAGTAATTCTCAACCAGCAGTGGTGTCACCCCTCCCATGCCCACAAGCACCCGTCTGGAAGGGCGCAGGCAATTTTGGTTGTCACAATGCCTGGAGGCTACCAGTCTAGGGACTGGGGATGCTCAGCGTCCTACAGTGAGCTGCTCCTTCGTAGCCCAAATGCCAAGAGTGCCCCCCGCACCACGCTCATTAAGAATCACAGCCCCGTAGAGCCATCAGGAGAGCAAGCCACGGAAGAAGGAATTCTGTGTCCGGAACACTGGAGCGGCTCTTCATCATCGAGGTAGGGTCAGAGGCTGCGCGGGCTTCCATAAGGCCACATTTCCTTGGGGAAATGGCGCACCAGAAGCAGGGGGACCGGGGCGCCCCCTGACTCAGGGTCAGGGCTTACCTACCGAGCATGCACAGGGGCTTCCTGGCAAACTTGAGCCTTCCCCGCCAGCCTTTATAGCGGCAGCAACATCCGGCAGCCCAGATCCTCAAAGCAAACTCGGCTCCAAAGATGAAAATAGCAAATGTTTCCTGCATTAAGAACATATGGAGAGACACGGATCAACTGGGACCCAGTTGTCTAGGAGTAGAGATTTCTGCTCTGAGGTTCTGAAGAGCGGGGTTTCCATTGCTGTTGCTGTTTTGGTGGTGGAGGGGGGAGAAGAACACGTTATCACCTCCATGCACTTCTGGACAGCCCCCACGTCCATGCTAATGTGCTAACTGTCCCTAAGAGCAGCCTTGCAAAGGGAGTCCTTGTTTTTTCCTCTCTGTTTTGGTTCCAGTGGATCCTTAAAAAAAAAAAAAAAAAAGTCTATTTTCATGTACGGAAAGCCTCTAAGTGCAGTTAAATTGAAAAGAGAAGTTATCAATGAAACACAGTCTGCTAATCCCAACCAGTGCCTGGCCCTGGGAATTGCTACTTACGGCCAATGGTTGCTAAGCACGGCTCCTGGGCCAGGCTCTGCTTCAAGTGTCTTATGATATTATTCTCATTTTATGTTTTGAGAAACCAAGGCAAGGAGTAGGTACACAAATTCCTCCAGACTAGGATGTGTGCAAAGAGGGACTCCCAGGCAGCTAATCAGGCTGTGCTGTCTCCCTGGACCTTGGGTTTCCTCCTTGCCTCCTGCCTCTCTTTTTGGTCAGACACCTCTGCCCCTCTTTGGTGACCTCCTAGGGCCCTTGGGTAGTTGCTGCTCCGTGATAATCCCTGAAACCTAGTTCCTGGAGCTAAATGGCTTCTCAGGATTCACCTGCTAAGATCTTAGTGTGAGACTGTGTGAACAGGAAACACCTGCCATCGGAAGGAATCCCCTGAATCTGGCATCATGGATGGCATGCTCAGTGCGAGGTGAAGGTCCTGCTATTTTGTAGACCCTAATTGGGGGGCTGGCACCCCTTGCCTGTGTAGATGAGTGAACAGAGAGATAAAACAGACAGAGGTCCCAGGAGCAAGGATGTGGAGTTTAACGTAGAAATGGGATTTGGTACTTGGCCTTGAGGAGAGTCAGAGATCCTCAGGGTTTTAAGGAGAAAAAGCAGAGGCAGGTTTTAGAACAGAGCATGCCTTTGTGTTAACTTTCGGAGGATTGAGAAGCCGCCATTTATCATATAACTAATGTGCCTTGGTTTTCGCTTTGACCCTGTTTGTGCCCCCTTGTCTCTAGTCTGGAATAACAAATACCATTCCCTTCCACCTGTGCCCATGCAGACCTGCCCAACTGATCCAGTCATTGCTTTCTCTTGGGACTGGACTTGGCCAGGAAGCCAAAACCAGTTGTGCCCAATGGCAGCATCCTTGCTCTCAGCTGTGAGAGTCCAACCAGAGGCATCTACCCCGGAATCGCCCCCCCCCCCGGGGGGCGGTGCACAGTCTCACCAGTAATAGCAGCCAGTCTCCCGAAACAGTCTCGTACTCCCTGAACGTGGTCAGCACGGCCAGAATCAAGCATCCCAGGACAATGAGGAACCTGGAGGGAAGGAAGGAGGAAGCATCTAGTCCCAGCTAGCTCCAGAGGATGGTGTCAACCAGGCTGAAGCGACAACTTCCCTGAGACGTTGGCATGTGCTTGATCCATTTTACCACGTAACCTCATCACAAACCGATGGGGCAGGTAGGAATTATTATTACAGCTAAAGAAAACAGATCCGAGGAAGGGTAAGCAATGTGCATACTTTCACTTAACCAGCTAGTTAATGGAATGAGCTGGGGGGCTGCAGACACCTTTCAGATGAAAAGTTCCCACGAGCTTTGGTAAAGCAACAGGAATATAAATGAATGCACAGTGTGTCCTGCACGTGTAGGACAATGGTTTTCAAACATATGAAACATTCTTATAACGTTCTTATAAAGGCTTAGTATTACTCTTTTTAGAATCCCTGGTTACTAAAGGAAACGACCTCTTTCATCTGAAGCCTTCAGAATTGTTTCTGAAATGGCAAAATATTCTTCCTACCAGAAAGAACGGGACCCGACACAGAGAAGGACGCAGAATGCTGCTCCTGGACAAGTCACGGAGAGGTCATCTGGTTCATGCCCCTGTCTCAGGCAGGAGCACACTTCAAATAATCCTTTGAGATTATCATCTACGTAAATTCAGTTGGCGGGGAGGGTGGGGAGAGGGAGAGCTTGTAGTGCATGTGTGTTCATGTGTCCGCACGCTTCACCATATCAGCAAAGAAAGATGGCTCTCCCTCCCTCCTGGCGGAGAGTCTCTGGTTCAGTGCTCAGCACCAGGCTCCCTAGGGTCCATGGGTGAGACTTGGTACTACATACTCCAGGCTCTTCTGCTCTCTGTGATCTGGCTCCCCACCCTGCTGGGTTCCAATGCACGTGTTGTGGGCTTGCTTGGGTAAGTGGGGGCCCACTGGTGCATTCATTTACTCGATCATTCATTCATTCCTTCAATTTTTACATGGCAGGCACTGGGGACACAGAGCTGGAATTCCATAATGAATAAGCTGGATTTGTCCTCATGAACTCACAGTCCAGCCAAACAGAAAGCTATCTCATGCCATGATGATAAGGACCGCAATGTAAGGTTTGAAAATGTCTGCTCCTGGTCTTGCCTGGGGACCCAATCCTGGCTCTGACCCTTGGTGATCTTGATCTTATTTTATGATCAATAAGCCTTCTGATCTGCAGACCTGAATCTATATTTGCAACCTTGCCTAGGAACCTAAACCAGATTTTCAACTCCCTCCTCTGGGGCCATTTTACTTCAGTTTATGGCTCAGGACCCATGCCTGGAATCTGCCTACCCCGAATCCCAAATCTTCTCAGGTGATGATGATGATGGTAACAACATCAACTCCCACACCACCCGTTAGTGAGCACTTACCCCTCACTACTTTACATCTATCAGCTCATCCTTACACCCACCTCCCAGGGTAGACATGAACTCCCATTTTAGAGATAAAAAAAATTCATCAGAAGGATTCATTACCATCTGGATAATTGTGTTGTCAGTTAAAAAGACCAGAGTGTGGAGTCCAAAGACACAGGCTCAAAGGGAGGCTCTAGTACTTTCTGTGTGATCTTGAGTAGCTCATTGACCTTGGGGACCTCAGTGATCACGTTCATAGAATGGGAATAATGGATCCACCTGGAGATCATGGCTATTGTGAGGACCACAACGGACAATGGATGGGGAGTGGTTTGGTCAACTGTACAGGATCATGCAAATGATGCCTGGTGCTGTCCCATTCACACATTCATCACTGGCTGGTTCCCCAGCATGCCCTGGGGAACGCGCTCTTGGATTATTCTGCAAATCCACACTCCAGTTCTGTCAAGACTGGATTTTATTCCTTCAGAGGCTCTGGTAATAAGCCCTAGATTAGAATCCCCTTCTGCCTCTTATGCTGTGTCATCTTGGGCAAGTTACACGACCTCTTGGTGTCTTGGCTTCCTTACCTAGAAAACGAACCCAATAAAAGTACCCATGACCTCCATTATTCAATGATATAGTCTGTGTCAGGTTCCTAGAAGAGTGCCTCCATTAAATGTTAGCTATTACTTTATTCCGATTTAATAACAATGTATTGAGTGCTTCCTGTGTCCCAGGCACAGCACTGGTTTTAAGGATACAAACATGAATAAAATCTAGCCCTTGTTTTCAAGGAACTCCTAGTGCAGTGGAGGACAGATAATTACAGAAGTTATGATCCGAGTGTTCACCCCACGCTTTCAGGGTACAAGACTGAGAGCCTCCAAGAGGTTGTGGCCAAGGGGTTGGAAGTATATTTGAGGCTTAGCAAGAGTTGACTGCTATGTCTCAGTTTATCCAGGACATTCCTCAATTTTGTGTGTTGACCTGGAGTATGGCCCCCGAGGCATTGTGAACGACATGCACCCATGCAGAGAGTGCGAAAGTTTATGGACACAGAACCCAGTTCAATCTTCTCCTTTAGCAAGGGATGCAGGCCTTTGATGATCTGGACTTGCCATCCTCACAACCTTAGCTTCCGTTGTTTCCCCACTCCGAGGCCAGCCATCCTGAATGACAGCATTTCCTCCAACTCTCTGAGCCTATTTGTGCCTGTCTCGATGCTCTTCTCTGCCCGCTCCTCCTAATCTCCCCCCACCCTCCATTCTCCTTAAGAGCCTTAAACAGCACAAGTCATGCTTTGCCTCCGGAGACTTCCATGACCTTGGCTGCTCTCTCTGTGTTCTCCAGTGTGACCTCTCTGCTGGGGTCACAGAGCACCCCACTGCATTTCTATTCCAGTGCAGATCATAACCCATTATCATTTTGTAATCATTCGCTTGCTTTGGGTATTAATTAAAACATACTGTCTTAACTATGTTGTGGACCTGTTGAGTTTGAGGTTCAAGTGGAAATATCCTGCACGTTGATCAAAATTCAAGTCTAAAGCTTAGGGAAGAGGGTGGGGCTGGAGATCCAAGTTTCTTTCAGCTTTTACCGTCTATGATTTTAGAGCCCGCGAAGGGAATCATGAAACGCAGCTGCAACCTGACTCCCCGCAGCAGAGTGTGCAGAACCAGGCTTTAGCCAGCAGGGGACAGCAAATGCCTGGCAGAGCTCCGCATTTTCTCACACCTCCAGGAATTCAAAGCACCAGCAACCTCAGGGAATTTACTTTCTGAAACTGGAAAAGAACCCTTAATTGATAAAGCTAAGAGCATCAAGGAGCCCTCCTTAACTGGGGAAGGGGAAAATGCTCTTTGGTCCTCCATACTTTTCAATTTACTCTTAAGACAGGCACTTGATCTCAGACACACAGACCAAATGACTAGTCTCACCACAGAAGCCAGATGTGTGTGGGAGACAGGGTCTTCCTTCCTCCTACCGTTTTTGGCTCTCTCACTCCCCCGTGCTTCACCAATGATTCTTTTACTTCCTCTGTCACTTTCTTAAAGTTTTTAATTTTAATTCCAGTGCAGTTAACATACAGTGTGATATTAATTTCAGGTGTACAATATGGTGATTCAACATTTCCGTACATCACCCGGTGGTCATCAGGACAATGGACTCCTAATCTCCATCCCCTATTTCCCCCATTAGCCCACCCACTTCCCCTTAAATAACCATCAGTTTGTCCTCTAGAATTTAGACTCTGCGCTTTTTTCCCCTCTTTTATTCCCCCTTTCGTTTTGTTTCTTAAATTTACATATGAGTGAAACGATATAGTATTTGTCTTCCTCTGCCTGATTTATTTCGCTTAGCATTATACTCTCTAGCTCCACCCATGTCGTTGCAAATGGCAAGATTTAATTCTCTTTATGGCTGAGAAGTATTCCACTGTATGTGCAGACCATATCTTCTTTATTCATCTATCGATGGGCACGGGCTGTTGCCATATTTTGGCTATTGTAAATAATGCTGCAATACACATAGGGGTGCATGTTTGAATTAGTGTTTTTGTATTCTTTGGGCAAATACCCAACAGCGTGATTGCTGGATCGTAGGGTGGCTCTGTTTTTAGCTTCTCGAGGAGCCTCCATACTGTTTTCCGGAGTGGTTGCACCAGCTCGCATTCCCACCGACAGTGTAGGAGGGTGCCCCTTTCTCCGCGTCCCCGCCAACACCTGTTGTGTCTTGTGTTGTTGATTTTAGCCAAGTCACTTGGATTCCTGCTCTGCAGCCATCCCTGTCTCCTTCACTTGACTTTCCCTGACTTCTCCTCCTTTCCCCTCTCCTTTCTCCCTCTGCTCCTTGCCCATACTCCTCCCAGCGCCTGCAGGATGGCCAGGGTCTGTGGCGGATGTGAGTCTGGGGGAGGCCCAACAGCTGTCCTCCTATCTGCGGGGTCCTGGCTGTCTTGGTGAACGAGGGCAGCCGGGGTCAAGGGTCTCAGACACGCCCTTAAATCACACACCACCTCCTATGTGCTTCCACCGGCATCCTCTGCACCTTCCCCCCAGGCTGGGGTTGTGGAGGGCAGGAGGGAGGCTGCTTCGCAGCTGTACCTGGAGTCTCAAGCGTAAGGTCCAAGCCCCTTGACACCAAAACTCTGCTGGGTCACAGCTCTGCACAGTGGCACCCGGGATTCCCTGCGGCTTCTTCTCAGCCAGGCCTGGACTTCCTTACCGGAACAAAGCTGGACCCGCTGGGAGTGAGTGCCTAACAGCCAAGGATCACCTACCAGCTCCCCTCGGGGTCGGACAGACAGGCGGTGAAGACTCTAGAGTTTACCCAATCATTTGTGCATGCTTTTCTCACGTGCTCCTGTGAGGTGGGGTCTCGGTCATCATTATATTTGCATCCCCACTTTACAGATGAGGAACCGAGCTTCCAGGCTCAGGTGGTGGGGTCACAACAGGAGGAGGGGCAGTGCCGAGAGTGGCCACGGGGCCCGCAGGGAGACGCTGCGGGAACAAGGCAGGGCACAGCCAGCCGGAGACCGGGGAGGGGGCTGCTGGCTCGCAGTTCAGCCGCGGCCGGACAAGCCCATCCCTTCTCCTCTGGACTCCCAGGCCGGGAAGAGAAACTCTCAGTTCCTTTCC